CCAGAAAAAAAAACAAAACCAGTTGTCTGCAGAGCACCTGTAAGTACACCGATACCTCCTATAAACAGCCTGCACTTGCAGGGCATGGGTGAAAGGCAGCAACAACTCCATGTAATACAAAAGCCATTTGCTAATACAGTGTTTCTGCAGTTCAGGAATCCTAAATATTTGTTGAGGAAAGTGCAGAGACCAACATGACGAATAAAATGTTATGATGCTGGAGAAAAATCACAGAAGACAAAATATAACACTTTATTAAAAATTAGTGTTCCATTTCCATTTAATGCACTGATAAAAGAGAAAATACTTTAATCAATAGCTAATATGGTTACTGCATTAACTAAGTATTTTATCCATAAGGCTAACCCTTAAAAGTTAGAGATAAAAATAAAACAAAGCCTGATGCATAAGAAAACAGCTTGATCACAGCATGTCAGTTTAAACAAGATCAGCAATCATATTTGCTATCCTCTGGATATAAAATATTATTGAAATCCGAAGTCCTTTACTATTATTAAACAAATTTAGCTTCAACATCCCTCTGAGGTGGGGGGGGGGTCTTACCACCATTTTATTACAGATGAGGAAAAATTATGCATGTAACAGAAAAACTCACTTGCTGTATGTCACTGAGTTAGTGGCAAAGCTGGCAACAGGACTCATGACCACTCATCTCTTAATAAAACCACAGTTCTCCTAACAGAATGGATGGTGTGAAATTTGTCTGTAAAGATTTAATGCCAAGGATCACCAGAGGATATAACCTAATTGTATAAGACAGGGACTGCTGGGCCAGGCATATTCAGTTAAGGTATACTTCATCAGTATTTCCTAGAGTGAATTATGTCCAAAAATTAAAAAACCTTGAGAAGAAAAATCTAATCAAAACCACAATAAGTGTTGCCTGTTCCAAGCCAAATGCAGCTTTTCAATAACACCACAGTATCAGTCCCACCAATGCCCTCCCAGTCTCAGTCAGTTACTTTATATTTTAACCGAGAAGTGCAAGAGATAAAAAGTCACCAGAATGGAACATTACAACAGGATAAATGTCTTCTGTTCCGAAAACTAAATGTCAAGGTGAAGGTTAAACATTTAGCTTTGTCTCGGCATTTATCAAGAAGTTGGAGGCTGCTACCCTGCAGAGCTCTCTTTTGACATTATTGCCTGATTAACATGGATACTGAAAAGCTGTTTAACATAAGACATTCATTCAAAGCACCAAGTCTCCTTCTCTGTAGAAAGACTGAGGCTGTTTTGCAATATGTTAGGACCCCATTACAGAAACATGCAACCCTTCATTACAGTACTTTTGCATAGATGTCAATTAATATTTTCCATTCATTCTCTCAGTCTGATAATATAATATTTGAATGCGCAAAAGTTCACTTAAATTTAGGAATGGAGAGGACAGTAAGGTTTCAAAAAGACCTTCAACAGCTAATGAACACTAGCTGATGTAGTTAGAATTCATACGTTACAAATGAGGCAAAAAGGCATTCCTTCCTCCTAAAGGCTACTACCAATTCACAGCCACATCAGTAAAACACATCCACCAGTGACGGTCTGTGCAGGACAACACTGCAAGTCTCTTAACTCGCAGACAAATGCATATAATTAGACATCTATATTGTCTTAATAGGGATCATAATTTGTGGTATTTAAAGCCAGCAGAGAAGATTCCTAGGAAGCACAGCTGTTCGCTCTCTCTAGAAGTAGACAGCTTACTACAAATAAGTGAACGCTGCCTTTCAAAACTGCATTATCCTTTTCAGTGCTGCTTTTTCTCCACTATACCAGGTTGTAAAAATATGTTCTAGAATGTTCTTGTCAAAACAATTCATAGCTTTTAATTAAGTTAAGGATGATTAAGATGAGACTACAAAGCATGTGTTACATCAAAACCACAGTATTTGAAACTATCAGAACCTGGTAGTACAGAGACTGTATAAATCAACATGCCATGATTTTGGCAGAAAGGACATTCAATTAACATCGTGTATTGGCACAGTTCCAGATAAGCGGGACTCTTAAGAGAAAATAACGTGTTCTATCACCTGTATTAGCAAAATGTTCAACCCATGAACTGTGTAAGCAATGGCTGCATCCGTATCTACATTTAGACTTACGGAGATTTTATGTAAATTATCCAATTATGTACGCATGCAGGTAAGAAATAACTCTGGGCATTCCACATTTTATCAGAAAGCAGAGTATAGCAGCCCTATGGAGGAAATCTCTAATACAATAATTTTAGCCTTGTGCATGTCCAAATAGTGCACTTGCAGAGCACACCTACACAGAGGATTTCCTGACATTTTCCCATTCCCATCTGTCCACCAGTGGAGGGAACTATAGAACTGCTAGTCAAACCCACACACAGGTATTTAACTGGGATCTCTCAGCCACATCCTGAAAATCTTACCAGGACAAAGAACACCAAGACCATGGTTTTGAAATGTCTTTTGAACAGAAGAAACTTTAGTGTTTATGCAATTTGATTTTACTCTGAGTAAAACTTACAGACTGACAGAGTGTTCTGTCCACAGTGGCCAAGCATTGTTTAACATCATTCCAGTTCTAGTCATATCTTAATCTAAAAGCAAATGTTTTGTGACCAGTACTCATTGGGGGTAGAGAAGGGAGAACGAATGGGGATGAGAGAAGAAGGTGAAATAAAAAGGCTATCTGTACATATTTTTAAAAGATTCGAAACTGCTTACAGTTCTTACTGATACTCCACATTCCACAAATACCAAGAAGTTATTTTGCACCTTTTAAAAGATTCTTACAACCCAGATGGTTCACCAAGCAGTTTGTTTCCAAGATTAATTGAATCTAAATTCAAATCAGAAATTAATACTATTTGTTGGCTATGGGAGACAAGGAAAAAAAACCCCAACTAAACCAAAACCAAAACACAAGCTTTTCTCTGCTTCTTATAGTGTAATAATTCACAATTTGAACCTATTTAATTAATGAACCCTAGGAATAGAGAATCCAACCACGGAATGAAAGCCTCTGGACTAGCACACGGATCTGACACTGCTTCTCTTTCACAGACTCCTTCACAGACCAGTACTCCCCAGAGAAAAGAAATGCAAATATGACATTTTTCTGCATATAACTTCTTTTAAACACAGTTTTGCAAGGCTACCAGCATCACTTATCTGTTAGCATTCACTATGATAGTAACAAGAAAAAAAAAAAAAGTAATTTGCCAAGAAGCAGAAGTGCCACGCATTAATTTTAAGTGGCAGTCTTATTTGTTACAAGATGAAAAAAAAGTACAAGAGAATAAATTGAAGTTATTAAATACAGCACAGACACCCTATCACTACAGGCTCTGCTGGTAGCTTCAAAGCACCCACCACAGTGTAATTTAAATAGTATCAGTGAAGGGACAAAAATTAAAAAAAAATAATCCACATCACACACTAGCAGAATTAAGAAAAAAAGCTGCAAAAATCTTTGTCAAAACTGATCTCAGCAGCTGTATTTTCACTGGCACAATAGAAAAACCATCTGGAAAACAACAACTTCCAGAAAGCAATATAAGAGAAAAGAGGTTATTAGAGTTTTAAAGAGGCCTTTCACAAAAAGGCAGGTGCATTACTGTGGCAATGCTACTTCCTGGATGTGAGGAAAATTAAGTGAATGCCTGCCACATGTAGCAGCCTGGCTAGGCAATAAAATCCGGAAAGTTTACAGCCATTAGTGTTTTCTTACCAAGCCTCAACAATTTCATTTTCAAAAGCCTAAGTGAGTGGAAATAATTTTTTTGTTCCCTCCCCTGCTGCTACTACTACCAAACTACCTACCATCTTAATTCTACTTATAACTTCACTGCATTAATTTGGGATTATTTTCTTGTCAGGCTTTTGCAGTAATTTGCTTTAAAACATATAGGTAGATTTGGCACTGGTCAAAGCAGTTCAAGACTAACCATCGTGGAACCTGAAGCTTCCATGCTCATGTACAATACGGGAACATAAAAGCAGCTGGGGAGCACGCTCCAGCACCGTCACATACCCTTAGCTGCCAATGAACGGCCGTCAAGTAATAACCATTTATGACAGTGGTAAAATTTCAACATACAAGCGAACATCTAAGAATGCAGTTACAACTGTTCATATTAAACTTGAAACTGTTTCAGAGACCCAATTTGCAGAGCAGCCTTGACTCCAACCTTCTGAAAGGCCCTTTACAATTAGCCCAGCCAAACACTCAGAACAAAAGTGATTATTTCAGTTCAAAATTCAGTATAAGCTACCTCTCTCCTGTGTCCAAAGCCTCTTGCAGTTTAACAAGATATTTATGATTATTCTTCTCTTTCCACTTCGACTTCTATGCTCTAGAAGGGATTCAGAACACAAAACTTGAATTCACCCTTCAGTATGTGAACATTATCTAGCCCTAAAAAATGTTGTTTAGTCCGTACTTCCCCAGTCACTGCAATTTTTCCCCGTCTGCTTGAGAAATTTAACATCAAATAGCACTTTTGGGCCACATGAGGAAACTAAATGTGAAACTAATTCCCCAGATTGGCATTGCTTATATAAACAGGATTACACTATCACAAGCCTAAACAATGGCAACCCTGCCACTATCTGTTCCTGAAGCTTTCTTACTTGAAGAAGTTTCTTCCTTCGCCATACCCATTTCTGTATCTCCCACGACAAGTCATTACATATATATTTAAATTGTCAAAGTTTTCTCATTTTTCACAAGGGCAAGTTTTTTGATGATTCTTATCTTTTGATTCTTACCTCTTTGGAAGAGCTTGCCTTAGAATTAAAGATACCTATCTTGCAACACAAACCTTTGTATGTGCACTGGGGGAAAGTGGTGGGAGAACTCACACATGCAGTGCATCTGACTACTGGATAGGTAACCATTTCTTCTGGGGATTATCAGCTGTAGTGTTTGCTAAGAGTAGTCATGTTCAAGTTCTCTCCACCCCCGCCTCAGTGTCTTGATTTAAAAACTGGAAGTTCCGTTATATAAAACCCTAAAAGGGCAGATAACTGGAAAAAGATTTGCAAATCATGCCATCGCATTCAAGAAAAGCTGTACTTCTCACAGGAAGTAAGAAAACTGGCAAGTCATTAGATATGAAAGAGCAACCACAAACTGTCAGAGTCGGTGTTCCAAATTCCATTCCTCACGTGACATGAAAAGGGGGCCAGTCTGTATTTAAAGCACTTGGTGCAAAATTAACATCTTAGTTCCGAAAGCCCTTGGCCTTTAGTGTTGCTTTGTGCGGTCAAATTACCATTCCTTCTCTAGGGAGCCAAGAAGCCAAATGAAGATCCATCCACAGAGTCCAACTGATCCCTCCCTACTTCCTGATCTCCCTCAAAGAATATCGATACAAGCCTTGCCACCAAACCCTTTTTCCTCAGCTGATATGCTAGTGGCCAAGCTGACGGTCATCATAGGTGCTGTATCTCTTCACATGGATTCGGCGCACTCGGTCACGAAGTTCAAAACCCTCATCATCCTCACTGTGAGATGCCTGGCTTCGGCTCCTGCTTGTTGCTTCCAGCAGAGAGTTATCAGGAACCCGTGGTGTTTCATATAGTAAGACATTTAGTGTTTCCTCATAAATTCGTGCCTCAGGGAATTCAACCTACAAAAAACAGCACATGTCCTTTTCCTGATCCATACAGGATAACATGACTGGAACACATATCCATAAGAAAAAAGATACTTGAGCCATAAAAAGACATACACTATAAAGAGAGTAAAACAATTGTAAATGAGAAAGATGAGCAAAGCAGTCTAATTCCTAGTAGAGGATCACTCCCACCACCAGATTGCCTACCTCACAATCTACCTTTAGATTGTTCTAGAATGGAACACAGTATTTATGATTCTTAAGTGCTCATGTTGGGAGCCTGGTCACCTTACCTGAATCACTGCAAGTTAGAAGTTAGGGAAACTCTGTAGATTTATCATGTTAATCATTAGCATATTTTCATGCATGTAACATCTCTTTAGGATGTACTGTGTTTGAAAGCAAGTCTTTAGGTAGCCTTTGCAAAATCACCGGTAGGAAAACTCAGAAGAATCACTGGAATTGTGAGGAAATCAAGATCGATTGAGTACTGGGAATCTGCACTCCTGTTGAACTTTTTAAGTGTTCCATAGTTTTGCACATAAAAGCACAATGATAATACAAATGTCATGTTTCTAACCAATGTTTGAGCTCAAGTTTCCATTTCATTAACTTCATCCTATCCATTTCAGTTATTCAAGTTGGGACAGATCAGTTTCATTCTTCTCCTTTTTGGTGTGTATTTTCCAACACTCTGGAGAAATTTATACTCCCAGACACAACCATTTAGTCCAATTACATACAATGATTACATCAGTGCAGTGAAACACAGTACAAAGTAACTGCAATGAAGTAAACTTACGCAGATATAATTAGGAGCAGAATTATATCTTTACTTCATTTAATTAGAGAAGAATTTAAAGGCATTTACATGATTTAGGGACACAAAGTCCATCACCTTTAAGAGACTAGCACTAGAATACACATGCTTTCAGAATTACTACTCAGTCTTTCCTTCTTCAAACCTGCTACATCTTTGAATTCTATTTAGTAGAAATTCTATTTAGTATGCAGCATCTTCTACCAAGACAAGAGCCCGTCCTGCAGCCCCTTAAGCAGCAAGCCACTCTAGTAGTTTCGATGTCACTGACCGTCAGTTCCAGTCAATAATCAGCAGAGCTGGTATCAAAGCTTTTCCAATCTATGACATTGCTCACCCCTAGCAATTTGGCTCAAGTTATATAAAATCTGTATCTTTCTGCAATGTATCAGCAATCTGATTTTTTTTTTAAACCATAAGAGATAGATGGGTAAAACTCCATTACCTTGGTTTGCTTCTTCTCTGTAGCGTACACTATAGAGGTACAACAGACTTCAGCAAGTTTCCGGCCCTGCCCATAGAAAGACCAGCAGCAGATTTCATCCCCTATAACATCCTTAATGAAAAGAACTCTGCCATTGAATCGGAGAGAGAGTTTGTCAAACAGCTCTATGTTCTTCAGTAAGTTGTCATCTGAGTTACTGAAACACAGCAACAAAAGAGGGATAAGGTTTTTGTGGTTTTTTTAATTCTGCCAGAATTTATATGCCTATTCCACCAGTTTTAAGCATTGATCTAACTGCAGAATACAAGTAAGTAGTGACTCATTGCCATATACTGCCAAGAAAAGAGCGGGCCACAGCCAATTTCAGATACAAATAAGATGCCCTGATCTCCACGAGCAAACACACCAGCCTTTAGAGGTTATATAATTAATAACAGCAGCACAATTTCCCAAATCATTACATCAACTATCTACAACTATGTCTTGACTGACACTCAAGACGATTAAATCATATGCTAACAGCAGTTCTCTTTAGCTTAGTAACAGCAAAAGTCCAAAGAGTCAATGCATGCTAGAAGGCCAGCTAAAAAGCAAGGTATTCTGCACATAACACTAGTGATGTGCAAATTTCTAGGATGAATACATGATTTAGGAAACCAAGTTTTATTGCCAGCCAATGCAAAATAGGATCTTAATTACTTTTCAAAGCAAGATTTAAATGTTCTAAAGAAAAAAACCCCACATTGTATTACAGCTTTAAAATCAAGTAAAGCTATCAGAAAGAAACTAAAAATTTTAAATATTTTAAACACCACCTCCATGGCAAATCAATGTCCAATTTGATCACATAAAAAAAATAAAAGCCTTACTCCTCCGATTTTAGCTTGAATGCATCTGTATCAAAAATAAGTACTCTGTGCCCCTTTGTCTCTTTTTATAGGTGGCTGGGAAATTATGTACAAATATGTAGAAATTAGTGAACACATTATTGCCTAGACAGCAAAGACAGACTTGATAGCTTTAACAGTAAAGCTTACTCGTTGCACCAAAAAGTTCAAAGTTCAAACCTTGCTGCCAAGAATCTACCCAGAGACATGACAAGGTACTTTTGTATGCAATAGCGTAACTTTGGCAAGTGGTCCAGGAAGGCTACGAAATACTCGTGAATCAAGACACTGCTAATAAGCACAGCTGACTGAGCTTTACATAAAATACTTAGTCTAAGAAGTATTTCTTTTCAGATGTAAATCAAAAAAGCATGATGTGCAACCAGAGAAAATCTTCAGCTTGCAAGAATCATTTGATAAAGAAATCTGGGATTCAGACAGTGACAAGTCCTGGGCTCTGTCAAGTAGCAGAACCAGGAAAGGAATGTAGAAGTCTTCATTATTAGACCACACTGACAACGAAATGGAGAAAGCTCCTTTTATACTGTCGATTAGGAATAATAGATGGAAAAAAAAAAATCCGCGCTTGCTAGCAGCCAGTGTGGAATTTTAAATAAAGATGCTTCATTTAAACACCATCAAGGCATGCAGATTCATGCGCAAGGAATAATTAGAACCCTACAGCTAGTTGAGATACCAGCACCTCCTGGTATCTAGGATTCTGTTGCTCTCATTACTATTACATTTACATTTCTAGACCCGTGGTGACTAATACACTATTCTGTGCTTGCTTTAGCGTCACTGCTGTAAGCTAAAGGGTAACACAGGGAAGAGTGCAATATGACTGGCAGATACAGAATGTAGTCTCCTGAAAAACAGGCTGCTCTTCAGCACTCCCGCAGGTAGCATTTCCTGACTACCTGAAATATCACGATTGTTAGAATCCATCTCTCTGACACATAGACAATCAGTTTGTCTAGAGAAAAAAGCTTCCAAGATTGCATCTCAGGCCTGAAAACGCCTGAAATGAGGATTCTGCATAGCATAAAGGATTGCTCACATCGCTCCAATGACTGGTTTGGGAAAATCCAAAGCCATTCTGATAGTATCATAACAAAGGTATCATGACAGTTACAACATAAACCTTAATAAACAGTGTTACTTTATATAGGAGGAAAGCCAGTAAATTCTTGCCCTGGCCCTATCCGGGTTGTTCCCGAGCAGAACAGATACTTTCCTTTGTAACCACATAACTTACTCATTTAGAGGCACTGGAAGCACTAAAACATCAAGAATTTCTGGAGGGCAGAGTAAAAGAGTGCTGGCAGAGGCATACACAGACTCAAAAGTAAAGCTAAACTGACGAGGCAGGGATCATGGCTGCATTAGTTTTGCATTTAAGAGGTAACGCTCTGGTTACAAGTTTGTGCTGCATTACCTAAGTTACATCTAGTTTCAGCCAATATTAATAGCCTCATCGTTCTCAACTCCTGTCCTTTGCTTCTGTTCATCTTTCTCACACAACTGAACTGTACACTAGACTTCAAGAGATACAGTTTGTTGTGTTCTTCCCCCACTTAGATTCACGTAAATCAAAAATAACCACACAAATCCATAGAAGAGCACTGTTGTAATCAAAAAATTAAAAAAAAAAAAAAAATCCCAAACCAACCAAGTTAGGTCGTATCACATCTTCCTCCACTCCCATAGTGAAAGGGAAACTTTCCCATTACAGCGGGGAAAAAACTGACATACCTGGTATAGGAGTACTTGTTGTTGCTTCTATTATAGAGCAGCTTAACAACGGGCTATTGGGAGAGAAAGAAAAAAGGCAGAGAAGGTAAGTTCTGTGTCTGGATACATTTCAGAAAAATTCAGTTTCTCACTAGATAGTTGTGGAAAAGCAGTTACTTTCATTGATGATTCTATCAGTCTCTCTTCCTCTTTTGGAGATGTGATAATAGGGATGCTACAGACAGGTTCATACAAGTCTTTCTTGTCCTGTTTTAAAGAAAGAAGAGAGAGAGGACATAAACTCAAGAGAGGTAAATGCTAAAGCTAACATCTGCTGCTGCTGTCTTCTCCATCCCCTCCAGCCATGTTCCCAAATCCTGTGATGCAAAGGAAAAGCTCTGCGTTGCTATAGTAACCACACAGCATTATGTTGATCTGCAAACCAGAAATACAGTGGAGAGATTTCTTATCGCCAGAAGGCAGCTGTAATTGAAATACTGGGATGCAGGTGGATGTCCTTCTTAGCTATAGCAAGGACTCTGAGCTCAAGTCATATTTGATTTAAGTGGGTTTATTATTCTATCCTTTTTTGAAGAAAAGGAAAGTAAGAGTTTGCACTAGTTTTAATCAACTCAAAACACTGCAGTATGTAAGAACATCAGCCACTGTGAACTGAACATTTGGCAAGAACAGCATGTCACCAAAACGGACTTCAGCCCCTTGTGATACAAAAGCAACAATGAAGAGCGTGTAGCACAGTCTGTGACTCCAGATTTCTCATGCAGCAAATTAAGGAAAGCTCAATAGCTAATAGGAAAGCCTTAGAACATTTTGTTTTTAGAAGAAAGGTTTAAATTCCAAACCAGAAGGAAAATTGTCAGTGTGGCTTTGCATTTCCTTCAGCGGATAGAAGTAGTATACTGAACCTAGTATGTAAGGCATTTCTAAATTACTAAGTTTTGTCCCGCAGACAACATTCATTTCACAATCTTAAGACTAATAAAAGTTATATATATTGCATCTTGGCTAACCTTACTAGAAAGTTGGCAGAACAAGCTGATTTCAAACAGCTGAACTTCTAGCGACTAGTAAAATGAATAAAGCTACTATGAGCTTAGTAGTAAACCGATACAAAGAAAAGTCCTTAAAGTAATCAGCGCTTACCATATAGTTCTTTTTCTACGTTAGGATTCAAACTTAGGAAGAAAGTAACCACATTTTCAAAGATTCAAACCCATTCTACCTATAAATAGTATCTAATTAGGAGTGACATAACTTTGGGAAAATTTAGACAAGTGCCATAAGGGCATTTAAAACATATGCTCAAAATAATCATGTTTATTCAATCAGTGTCCTTTAAATTTCTGGGTTTTATTTCATTTCACACAAGAGGAACTAATTCAGTATTTCCTAAATAAAATTTAAAAAATAGAAACAGGAGAGAACCAGTCCCTCTATTTAAATGAGAGATTGTGAATACAGCTTCTACTTCACTCACCCTCCTGGCATCCCTGTTAAGTAGAAAAGTGCTACTATCCCCATTCTGAGGGGGCAGCTGGACAACTGAATAGAAGCAGAAAGGGAAACGATTTACTCATCACCATACTGGACATTTCCAAAATGACAGGAACTCAAATCTACATCTTCCACATTCTAGACTCATATAATCTAACCAAGGGACAATCTTTCTCTTCTTACAAAGAAATACCCCCTTTGATAATGCAACTACCTCACTAATTGCACTAAATGCCTTCAGAGCACAGGCTCCTGTGGCCTGGAAGGCTGTGCTACGGTAGTACATGGGTCTGAAAACATTTCCAGGGAGATCATAAAGCAAATTTCATCTCTTATTCAAAGCACTGCAGAATCTCAGCTGTGTATACAGAGCAAGGATAACTACGGCTTTGACAAACATACTGGATATGATCTTAGAACTTATCTGACTGCAGTCTCGTTTTCTCTCCGGGCTGTCTTGTACGTCTAAGACTTGATGCCAGCTCTAAGGCCATGAAATACTCTCTCAAGTTGCCTTAAGTAAATTGTAGAAGTGAAACACCCACGAAAAACTTTACAGGCTAGTTCTATTTCTTACCTGCAGGGCTGCTTGGCACATGTCCACTAAGCCCTGAATAAGATAATATTTGGCTTCTGCCATCAACTCTTTGATCTCCTGCCTGTGTTTTGGAAGTGCAATTGTGTCGTCTCGGAGATAGTTTAAAATTGTTCCGAAGTGCTTCCCACAACGGTCTATAAGGATCCAGCCTGAAAAATAACCATCACATCATTTCAATCACCTCAACACTAGGGGGCAAGAAAAAGCTCCTCAGAGAGGTTAAATAAGCCTAATGTTTCCTGAAACTGCACTTGATACTTTTCCCATTTCATTCAGTGGAAGTACTCGACTGACTTTTGGCAAATTGAATTTTGTTACAGAACAGAAACTGACTTTGGAACCACCACTGAAGTGGTACCTCCCGCATGTTCTCACCACCTTCCAGCACGCCAAAAGAAAAGCTTCAAGCTAAAAATATTCATCTTGCTATCACAAGACACTAAAATTGCTGCAGGAACCTGACTGCACTGTATCGCTTTATCAGTCAGTGGGCTGCCTGAACAAAATTATTATCTGTGCTTCGTCTTTTCTGTATTAGGTTCTGATTAAAAGAATGGACCTTTTCTGGAAGTCACCAGTTTACATCTGTTTAACTGACTGTCCAAGCCATTGAAACCTTAAAAAAAGCTTATTGTTAGGTAGGTTGCTTCTTTTATTCAGAGGCTTCTCGGATTCCCAGCAAAATGTGGGTGCGCTGTATTTGTACGGGAATAAATGTAGTAACTGCTGCTGGAGTGTAATGCTGAGCAATTAGAAACTAAAAACACCAAGGAAAGACTAGAAGAGAAAATTCACAAATGTTCACAAGTAGATTTGGGCTAAGTTCTGTGGTCTAACAAGAAGGATTTGGCAGTTTTCCAACCACAGCTTCTTCTGGTTTTCGAAGTTAAAGAGAAAGAAACATTCTGAAGATGCTAAAAGGCAGACTAGCCCAGAAAACCCAGTATGGGAAAAAGGCTGTTCTAGTCTCCAAATAGGGGCAAAGAACAGGACAGAGACAGATCAGGAGGAAGCGGAGGGAGGATACAGCACAGGAAACAGTAGTAGACAGACAGTTCTTGCAATTTTAAAACATCCCTGAATTCACATTCATTAGGAAACAGGATGTCTGACTTGCTGGCAAACAATAGCAATGTAGGACTCACACAGGCAGAAGGCTTAATACAGCGCCAAACCCTTTCCATAATGTGGAAGTGTTATTTTGGGACCTAGGTACAGAAAACAACATAGGAAAGTAAGCTAAACCACTGCTAGATTCTCCAGCTGTAGCTGTCAGAACATGAACCTCATCCTCTATTCAGGCTGAGGCTGTTATACAAAACTGCTGGACTAAATGGATTTAGTTGTATGTAACACTCAGCAAGATCCAGCCTACTCAAAGGGAACTTGGTTTAAATGACATGCAAAATCCACACGGATTTGTTTCAGTTTAAGCAAACACACCGTTGTGCATCAAGTTTAAGCTGATGTAATCTGGGCATGCGGAAGAGCTTTTGCATATGAGTGTTCAGAAACAGCAAGAGGTTAAATACTTGCCAACCTCTCTCAGTCTCTTCTCCACAGCCCCACAACCCCCATTCCTAAAGTATCATTTTGCCCTGGACTAGTAGAGAGAGGAAAATGAAAGTACTTGTAGCCATTGCTGATACTGGTCTTCTTACTTGCTCTACTCTCTATAACTTATAATGGATTTTTATAATGCTAATATTCAGTGTCCAGCAGGAGGGGACATACTCCTTGACTGATGGCTAAATACTGTCACAGCATCATAAGCCACAAGTGGAACATGCTACTGGGAGGAGGGAAAAAAGAATTTTCAACATAACAAGCAAGGCTATTCTGAATTTTAAAGATGAAAAATGAATGTCCCTCCCCACATACACGTTTTGAATGATGCCACTACATGACACAACATAAACAACAAGCCACATACTGTCTGTTCAGTCTTTGTAACACCATCAACAATCTGCATACCAGCTGTGACCGTAGGAAAGAGAACCAGTCCTCCCGCTAGTTAATTTTAGTAACAAAAGAACACATTTTGATAAACCTCAGAGGACTGTTAGCACCAATGGGAGCAGGCTGCCTAATGTTCCAAGCTATTTTTGGAACATATCTTTCCCTACGTCCTTAACTGAGTGTAGTCTTAAGATATTTAAAAAACCTCCACCAAATCCAGTTATTTTACAAAATTCTCAACAACAGAACACATTCCCTTACCTTCCTTGTCTGTGAGCACTTCCATTCTGCCGCTGAACATGGCCTTAAGCATTGTGTCGTGCCTGGTCAGAACTTGTACGGTAGTGTAATATAAAGAGCCCCCAACATTTAGTCGCACATACTTGTTACCAAGGCTGCCCCCTTTGAAGCTGCAAGTTTTGGGCTTGGGCCCTGCAGCTGGACAAAGGGTGGTGGTTAGACACGTGTCCCCCGACATCTCCTTCTGTAGGTAGATGACAACTCTGCAGAGCGTGGGCTTGATGGATTCCGCCGTGATTGGTGAAGAGTCACGAGTCACCAGATGAGGACAGCAAGGCAAAAGCGGTCATAACCACAGGGCCCTTTAAACAGAAATGCATAAGATCAATGCAGAAGGTTGGAGTTTCCATTTACAACAAAAACATGCAGCCCATGATAAAGACAATGTACTTTTCAGTAGATTCCTAAGGACACATCTACACACATTCTGACAAAACAAGATTTAACTGTTTTTCTTACAACTTACAGAGCAATACAATGGTTGCTCAGCACTGTACAGTTGCATTACCGTTAGTGAGACATGCTAAACTTTTCTGGGCTTCCTGTTATTTTGTCTTCAGCCAACACTACAAACACCATACAATACCACAGTCCAAGTTTAAAAGCTAGCTGGAATCCCACTCCCTCCCAACTTCCCAAAAGAACGCAACTCCCTTTTTTTGTGTAGAGCTGAAACACAGCAGAAGAGCTTTCTGCCCTTCCTTCAGCTAGGGTGTGTAGCTACACCTGTGGGGTTTGTTGTTGGTTTGTTTTTTAACTGGAGACATTTACAAATGTCTCTTCAACTGCCTCAACACTGAAACACTGGACCACAATGTTCTATTTCCTGGCAACTCCTTTCATTCAAAACTCTTCTTCCTCAATCCTGGAATGCTGAGCAGCCGATGTAGTTTTAATTAAAAAAAAAAAAAATTTAACACCACCACCACCCTGCCAGGTATGTCCAGTCTTTGGAACAGTTGTCTCAATTAAAAAGCCAGCAAGACATTCACTGCTTCTTTCTCTCCCCAGTCTCACAATGCTTTTACTTCCATTGACAATAAGCTCAAAATGGAAACAAACAAATAAAAGAATGAAGCTCTGTCTAATGTGCCAGATATGAAGTTCTTTAACCGGAGAAGTACAAATACAAGTTTCTTACCTATCCTTCCTCTAATAATTATTGTTCTCAAAAACACTTTGCTGTCGGGTTTTTTCTTTTTGTTGTTTCTTTTTTAAAAAAAAAACAGCAACCAAAAATATGTATTATGGTCATGGTGTTATAAGAAGTAATTACTCAAACAAAGCAGCTACGGGTTACAGAGAAATCTGTCAGAAACTGTCCAAGCATTGCAAGTAACACAATTCCTCCTAACCAGTCACAGCCGTTTACTATAATCTTCTACGAATAAGTAAATCAAGACTAGAAGCAACTGCACCTCGTCTTGCAGCTAAGACCTTTGGTAACAACAGAAATATGCCTTAGGTCTTTACGCTTGTCATTGAAGTCCTGCCTTGCTTTAGCCCCTCAGCAATCCCTTCTTCAGAACAGAAGCATGTTTGGAAAGACAGCCAGCCCGATCCTGTAACGACAGGGAAATCCAGACGCAAACTGAGCTCTCCAACGTCAACAGCAAACCCAACATATTAATTGGAATCGAGTTTTCAGTCAGTTCTACCACTTTACTTACTTCTCTGACCACGCAGAACGAAGCTAAATGTGAGCAGAATCCCCTACACAGCCAATGCAAGTAGGAGTCGGTACTATTACTCTAAGGTGTTCGTTAACTAATAAGCTAGGAGGCTTTTGCTGTAAACAGTAATGTAACCTTTAATTACCCCCATTAACGCAAGAGAAAATTTTCTATGTCCCTTCCTTCCTGCCTTGTGTGGGAGGCAAGAGCAGGACTGCAGAACCATGACACAAGAGCTCGGACATGCCATCAGGAAATGGTCCCTGCCGAGAACTTCCATAAAAAGGAATAACCTTAACGGCTCAAGGGGGAAATAACCCAAACACCCCCCCACCCCCGCGCAGAACCGCTTGCAAATGGGGCGCGCTCCTGGCCGAGTCTCTCCGGCCCCTTGCTGGCTTGTACCAAAGGGTCCTCTCGGTTTCTCGGCAGCCCGGGAGCGGTGGGGTGCAGAGCAAGGCAGAGCGGGGGCTGCTGCCCCACTAAGCCG